GTAAACTTTTAATTCTTACTAAATACCATAAATTGTGCTTATAAGTAAATTTGTAGCTTATATTTAGAGCTACAAATCAGTATATGATACTATATACTAATCTTTAATCGAACTTGAACCAGACTCGAACTCGTATAACAGTTCGGTTCGAGTTCGGTTCAAACTTTGAACCTTTCTTGAACTCAAGCCAAAGTCCGGTTCAGTTTGGTTCATAGGAACACTATCTGTCACATTAATATACAGCACATGTAAACAATAAGCCCAAAAATAACTAACCAATAAAAATAAAAATAAATATTATTCAATAAAATATACTATATAAAGTGTCCAATAAAAATAAACTAAAAAAATTGTCCAATAATATATAATAAACAAAATTAACTATAACACTATTATTAAAGTTGCATAATATTATAATAAATTATATACTATCACATCTAATAATATCTCATATATCAATTATATTGCATGAACTACTTTTTCAGCACTAAGTAATAAAGTATTAACTGTTAAGCACTATATTTATATAGTGATAATATATGATATAATTCTAAACTTTCAATATTCTAATATTGAGTGTGTTAAGATATCGTTAAAGTATCAAATGTTGAAATTTTAGATAATTAACATTCTTTACAAAATTTGATGATAGATTGCAATTAATACTGACTTTTATTACAGATTATCTATACAAATAATAAGCAACTAACATGTAAAGATTTTGTGATAATTATTAAAAAAGAAACTCATGAAGAAAAGTCAGATATGATGACAAAAATAAAGAAAAAAAATATAAGAGATCTCAAAGATCTGAATTTAGTGATTTATCTAACTTTGATATTATTAATAATCTATTTAATAATGATAGTTGATCTTTCAGTCAATATTAGCCAGATGTAATTAGTTACTTTATAGTTTTAGTGCTATTGTACATATATTCAGTAGAATATATAAAATATGTAAATATATAAAATTTTGTGTTATTGCACCTATAAATTATTTAATAAAATTGCTAATTATTGATTATATTTATATATTATTACTAATTATCAAAAATGATTACAATTATAATTAGTTATTAAAAATATTAAATGATAATATTAAATATGTAATCACTCAATCAATATAATAAATTAATAAATATTGATATACAAACATCAATAAATCAAAAAAATTTAATTATTAATAATTATCAACCTGTAATAAATATTGATAATTAACCTTTTTAGCCTATTAATATGCAATAATGAGTTCGATTATTATTGATGTTTATCCTGGAGATATATCATTGATGTTTAACCCTTTAAAAAATTTCCTGATGTCTTAAATTGACAATATATTTCATGTTAAAAATTCTATCAACTTCTTAACTAAGAAGTAAATCCAAAATTTGACTGGTAATATTATTAAGAAAGTCCTTTTCTATAATATTACTGGTCAAATTTTGAGTTTACTTCTTAGTTAAGAAGTTGATAGAATTTTTAACATGAAAAATATTGTCAATTCAAGAGTTCTTGCACTATATAATCACATCTTATTCAGCAATTATAAAACATAGGAAACTTGATCTCTATATAATCATAACTTTTATCTGATTTCAAGAACGTGATTATTACACATGCAATCAAAAAATATTTTGGTCTTGACTAAAGTAGTTATATTTATTAACTCAATTAGTTGCATTAATGACTCAATGCTTTATAAAAAAGACAATTATATATATGACGAGTTAATCTCGTTATTAAAATATTCCCATGGCGTGTTCAGATCAGATCATGTGATATTTGTGTATGTTCGGAAAAATTCTACGATAATAGAGATTATTGTTAAAGATTATTTTAAAGGTTAGGATTTAGTACCCTAGCCATGGCGAAAAAAAGTGTTCGTCATGTGATTTACGATTCGACACCGCCCTCCGACATTCCCCTTATAATATTAGAGTTTCGATTAGGGTTAGGGTTTAAGGTTAAGGTTATTGTATAGCCTATAGCAAACGGTGTCATAGCATACAGTAAAATTTCGCAAAGAACATTTTTTGTTAGAAATGATTGTTTCGTATGTAAAATTTCAATTTTTTGCGTTAAACATTGAACTTGCGATTTGATTGGTGCATGATTTTAAGGGGGATATCGGATGGTTGGCTTCGGGATCGAAAGCACATGACCCGACACTTTTTTTCACCATAACTAGGGAACTACGTATTTTATTGATGACGTAATAATTCTACCTTAATTTTATTCCCTATTGCTTAAATAAGAAAGGTGCACATGTGCTTATTGTTATGAAATAAAAAAACTGTACTAGTTTATATAACGCAATCATCAATATCATCATCAAGGTATAAAATGCAAAAATAGAAAAAAAATTCCAGTAAAAGTATCAATTAAAAGCCCATAATAATAATAACAAAGCTAAGAAGTGGAGTTTCAGAAGTATGAAGTAATGGATAGGTTGTGTTAGGTGATTTAATTAGAAGAATCTATTAAAATTGTCGTTTATATCGATTTATGACTTACTGTATGTTTCCTTTTGATTTTCTTGTGGTTATCACTGTTTGCTCGTTTTTATATCTTTTGATTTCTTGCCGTTCGCTTGTGATCTTTTTTAATTCAATTTTTCCGCCATTAGTCATTGTGTGCTTGTTTTAATTATTTCTGTTGTAAACTTGTTTATAATATAGTTATGAATGCGTTACGTCGCAAACATATTGACAATGGCGCTGTCTTAGGTTTCTTGCAAAAGTTATAAAAAGACAATTCAAGCTCGAAAGGTCGGTGGTCCGTCCGAAATCACCTTATTGTTCATATGTAAAAACAGCTCTAGCAAATGGTCACAATTCACATTCAGTATTGCTGGCTTCATTCCCCTCCAAAGAAAAAATCTTGAAAAGCACCTACCTTTCATTATAATTGATCCGAAGGAGAGATCATGAAACTGCTTTCTTGGTCAACAGATATTCGTTTTGATTTACGAAAAGCAGTTAATCCCTCGTAAGAACCAAACAGAGTGTCAATACTTGTTGGTATTCGCACATTCCAAATATGCTATTTATGAAGAACTAGGCGCTAAGATATTTAGAAATTATTCACTTATGCTTTATCCTTGACAACCTCATGTCTAAGCATCCACTTGTAAGCAAAATTCCATGCAGTGTACCCAGACATATACCGTAAAAGTCCGAAAGTAAGCAACCCTTTTTACATTATTTCGGAGGGTAAAACAGGGTAGCTTATTTTCTGGACTAATAATTTTTGCATGATTTGAAATTGACAGAAAGGGTAGCTTATTTTCGGAATTAGTCTTTTGCACGAATCTCGGATCTAAAAAAGGGGGGGAGCTAATTTTCGGACTTTTATGGTATGAGAGGTGGCTGAAAAGTTTTGATCGTGTCCCATTATCTCAATGCAGAGTACAAAAAAGTAATCAAATAAATACATGACATTTGATTTATTAATTATGGAAAATTCAATGTCTTTTGACTAGACAGCTTCTGAGAAAATTAAATTTAAAAATATATGTAAACTATTGACAAATTTCGATGATATTATTAGCAATAATATGTAATAATTATATTTTTATCATCTAAATCTTCAAATTTCATTAAATTATATATTATTAAAAATTTTTCTATCTTGACATATACTTGAACAAACAAAACTTTAACTTGCAGCATTTGAATTTTTTGTTACAAAGAATTTTGATTATTTATACTAATAAATTATTTTCTTACATTAATTAAAGCTTTTATCTTAGTTTAAACTTTGAAACTTAATATAAATATTACTAACAAAAATTTGTTCTATATTTATTATACTTGAAAATAAAATATCATACCTTTTCTCTAATATAAATTTTAAATGTGATTTATTTTTTTAATGAGCAATTTGTATTATAACTTTAATTAAGAATTAAAATTAAAAATTATTTAAATTTAATTTTCTCAGAAACTATCTAATCAAAAAACACTCAATTTTTTATAATTAATAGATTATATATTCATTTTATTTATTTTTAATTTAATAAATATAGGGGCACGATCAAAACTTTTCAACCGCCCCTCGTATGATGCAGGAACTCTTAAGTCGACGATATGTTTCAATTTTAGAGTGCTACTACTCAACATAGAGAACATAGAGGAAAAATTTGCAAAATCTGACCGGTAACTTTGTTCTTCTACAGAGTTACCGGTCAGATTTTGAAAATTTTGCCTCTATGTTCTCTATGTTGAGTAGTAACACTTTAAAATTGAAATATATCGTCGATTTAAGAGTTTCTGTGCCATACAAATGCGCTTCCACAGACTCTTGCAGGTAGGGATAGTCAAAAGTTTTGAATTAAATTATTGATTTCTTAAGCGACCATATTATAAAAGGTTATTATTTAAATCATAGAATATTTCTTGTGAACTATGCGGTTTGACTAATTATAATTTTGATTTAACGACATAATCTTAGCATAGATGCGAAGTGAGTGAAAATCATAACTTCCAATTAATGTTTGACTATTTCAACGAAGTGTTAATATAGTAGATAAAATGAATCTTATTTTACATTATATATTTGAATAAAAAAAAATAGCTTAACTGATGAATTTTATGTTGCTCTTGATTAAATTTTATAATTATACTATATATTTCTTTAGTTACCTTATAGATATTAAAAATTAAAAACTAAATTAATTTAAATTTTAGAATGCCTATTAGGAAATTAATTAGTCAAACTCAGTAATATCCAGATGAAGAGTCGTATTGAATATCATGGTTAGTTGCTGGAAAATTTATGAAATACTCTTCCGACTCCCAATTCATGAGTGAAAGCAAAAGCTCAGTAAAAGAATCGTCAGTTTGTTCCGTGTGAGTCAATGTCCTAGTCACGAAAGAGCTCGAGGAATAAAGTTCGGCCTCTGTATCGAAATTGAAGATTTGGGGAAAATATTCAGATTGATTTTTCAGAAGTAATTGCGATCCATGAAAAGTATTGCTTTGGTTTTGTTGAAGACAATAATACGGTGTTGTGGGGTTACTTTCTTCAGAATCTGAGTTGATGATGCTAGTATCGAGGCTTATAGGAAATTTTTGAACTCTTTCAGGACGTTTATTGCGGCGATTGCTTTTTTTATTACGTTTATAACTAATAGTTCTATTTGGCTCAATTTCTTCAACCATTTTGGAAATTCGTTTAGCAACCTTTTGATATTCTTCTTTTACCAAATTTGATTTAGCTTTCCACTTTTTAGAAGCAATTGAAGAAACTTCTTTGGCCTGAAGATAGTATCCATTGGAACTCAATTCGTTATTAAATGCTTTTCGATAGAGAATAAAGCTATTAGGGAGTTTTCCATTGATCTTCTTTGTATAGCGGGCTATTACTGAATCCAGCTGATCTGTCAATGGAAATGGAACATCAATCTCATCGATTGATAAACGTTTAGTGTCAAGTTTTGGATGCATTGGAGCAAATTTTAAAAACAATTTATAAACTTGGGAACTATAATTGAGCAAACCCGGAAAATTTTTATCAATTACAACGACGAATGCTGGTTTTTCTTCGTCTGACTTATTTATATCTTTACTGATTATTATGCGGGCCAAGCTTTTGTAGCGCTAATCGAAAATACCTTTTATTGTATTCTTTACCTAACAATGAATTATTTTTTTTCAGATGGCTGGTACGATACATATTCTTTTTTCATAGCAAGAAGACAATGTTAAATTAAATTTATACGCCGAAAATAGTGTTCAATTTCTGTATACTAATAGTTGTCGCCTAAAAAAAGATCGGAAAACTATTGATGCCGATAAAACTGCGTGATATTAAAAAGAAAGAATACTCTTCAAAGTTGCAAAATCTGTCATCATCTAGTTGCATTACACGTCATAAAGTTATTCAAAAAGTACATGTTCATACATGTATTATGCACACGCTAGAAATCCATGTGCTACAAATAAATAACAGATTTGTGAAAATAACGCTAGCAAGCATTTCATTATCGCTATTGAATTGTTGCATTGCATTATTTCAGTTTTTCTATTTATGGTATTCAAGGCCGAGAAGATTTTCAAAAATTCTGCAACTATAAACGTCATCGGATCATTTATTGGTTACAAATAATATGTCAGAATTTAAGTTACCGAACGCATTGGTTATACTAACAATTCTCTTTGCTTTCCAAAACAATTGAGGCCTATATGCAATTCTTGGCACGCGTTATGTTAGGTAACTGAGCACATGTTCGGACTCTAGTTTCCAAATATGTTACACACAGATTTTAAGAAATTTATTATTATCGTCATACGTAGACAATCTTTTTTTTAATACAAAAACAGAACCATTATTTCTATTAAAAGCTTGTTGAGATCGACCTTTATCGCTATGCATGTGGAGTACTATGTGAAAGCAAGCAAATCCATAAATAGTATGGCCTTTCATGCAATAATTAGAGAATAAGTCATTAATTCTTAATGCAGTCAAACCTCAATATAACGACATGATAGTAAAAAATTCTGCGAATATCGTTATGTCGAGAATTCATTATACCCATCATTATAACGGAGTATCGATATATCGAGGTTTGACTGTATACTTACGAGCTCGCGTTCGAATATTCTGTTTCAGATCTTTTATCAGATAACAAACATCCAATTTTGAATATCATAATCTGAATGGCAAATTTTCTAATTTCTAATATAATTACTGTCATTACATAAAGATTTAAATAAATTCTTGAAGTATTGAAGTATTTACTGTCAGTAAAAATGTAACATAACAAACGTTTGTTTCAAAATATGAGGTCGTTAACCCATGCAAAAAATCATTGAATTTTAACCCAATAAAATTTATTGTTATTTTTTTTTATCTTATAATCTTAATTTTTTATATTCTTATGCAAATATAAACATCAGCTAATTTTGAAAACAGTTGATTGCTGTCAAAAAACAATTATTGTCGATTACTATCGATAGCATTCAGTCAGAACTCGATTTTTCTATTTTTCATTCATAGTAACGGTAAATAGCATCGCGATTTAACAATATCATATGTTTTGAGTAAAATCCATCCTCGTTAAATCAAGATTTTGATTAGTCATCACTAAATCGCGTATTCAGACTGCTGAATCAAAGATTCAAATGTGACGCCAAATGCTAATTGTATTCATCATACAATACTTACTTGAAGAGGTGCTTATTTTTTCGGCACTATATAGTAGTAATCAATGGAAATAATATCGATGATAATCTGATGAAGGCGTAGTTGGTGATTGATACCCAACCGCTTTTGTAAATAATTTTTTCTTGTATTAAATACTAAATTGAAAATGAATTTAAGAACTTAAGTCTATTAATAAGTAATAAAAGGCGGAATAAAACTATACATGAGAAATTTATCTTTAAGTGAATCGATCTTTCAACTTAAAGAGAGTTATAAGCTGAAGAGAAGGAAGTTGCAGAACAATTGCATAATTCTTGTAAACCAGGACATCTATGTTCATCAAGAGAGAAGGTTGTGGAGATGGGACTGGTATTAATAGATTGATTAGATGGTATAGGACTCAAATCTTGCAAAAAATTCTCATAAAATGGTAAATAATCGATAGGTGTTATTAGTAAACTATTTTCTGCCGGTGATTCGTTTTGCTGCAAATTAGGTTCATATGGTTGATGAGCATGTACGAAATTTGAAGCGTCGTTAAAAATCGTATCAAAATTTGAAAGATTATGATCGATTAAAAATTGTTGTTGATGCGGCTGCTGATGGATTTCTTGAAAAATAAGATTTTCGACTGAGGCTGTTGTTTCTGTCACTCTGTATTCTTTTTCTTGCTCTTTGGCTAAATTATTAGAATTTAGCGAACCTTTTTCGATTGCCTTTTTCTTATTATATATTTTTGAATAGTTATTAAATGCAATTTTCTTCGTGGTAGGTTTTGAATAAAAATTACTATCAATATTAGAAAATCCATCTCCAGCTGCGCTTAATAATTTTGTCGCATTGAACGCGAGCGAAGAGTAATACGCCTTGACAAAGTCTGGTTCTTCCTTCCATCTTTTAGAAATAATTGGAGAAAGAACTTTCATTGGTGGATAAATGCCTTTAGAATTAAATTCTTTGACAAATGCACTTCGATAGATTATAAAATTGTTTGGAGCTTTTGACGGATAATCGCCATTAATTTTTCTCGCAAATACTTCGGCTGGAGTGAGGTTCGGCGGAAACGGCAAAATTATTTTTGCAAGAGGAATTTCACGCAACGATGATTTTGAAACAGAAGCTTTTTCATAAGCATTAATTTTTGGCATAATTTATTCAGTAAAAATAAAAATTATATTTAACGCTACTTTTGATTTTTATCTTTAAAGATCTTTGCAAACAGTGCACCAACCCTATTTAATAATCAAATCTCATTTATCGGTAATCTGCATAATCATTGGCAAAAATTCCTCCACATGATTTTGTTTCAAGGATAATACATGTTAAAATGGCCATAAAACTTTAATATCACTCATTGCATACAGGTTTTTAAAATACGTGTTTTCTGCAGATGCTTTCCGCTGCACAAAGTCCCGAAAGAATCGACTAATTTTTAATCTTATGCGAAGTTGTTGTTTTACAAAATTGTAGGTACTGTTGCGCCTTTGTGTATTTAGGCGCTCTTATTGCATGTATTTAAGACGACGCGAAACTCGAACGAGAATTTTTTATTTGTAAGTGCAAGTCAATGAAGTACTATATTTTGTTTCAAGTTTTTTTGTTCTTTTAGTAATGTATTATGGGTTGTCTTTCTTGAAAAGCATGCAACATGCAAGTATGGACAATAGATAATGGTTCGCCAAGTCTTTTGTATTACCAAAAGAAATACCCAGTTTATACTACCTTTATCTTTATATCTCTGGATCACTGATGTACGCATATAATATGAAATAAAATAAATACTATTTGTGGTTGTGTGACACACTATGAGAATTTTTGATACTCTATTATATTTTATTTCATACTGTATTTATCTGAAATCAATATCAATTGAACTTGCGTTTTTTATTCGTGTCGTTGTTGTAAGATACAGTCTAACACGCGATTTGCTTCAATCCCGAATTTGGAAATTAATATATGAAATTTATGCTAATATACTGCGCTACCTTGTATAAATAAAATCTCTATTATGAATGGTTTAAATAATGGACAAGGAATAAATTACAGTTATCTTTGACGATTTGCTTGCTTTCAGTAAAAAGTTACATCTCAATCAAATGCACCTCAACTAAAGAAATTCCTATCGCTATTACTGTAAATAGATCCCCTCGAATAGTAGACCCACTGTATTGTACCCGGTACAAAATCTCGGATATTAATACAGCAAAGTCAAGTTTATCATATAAAGTTGAATAATGTAATCATTATTTAAAAGTAAAAAATTATGTTTATATAGTAGATGTTCGCATTCCGTGTAATAAACCCCCCGGGTATAATACAGGTTTCTGAACCGTGGAATATAACAGATCCGAGATCTTTTATACATGTATGACCATTTACGGTATTTAAGAAAAAGGAAAGATCTGCTTTTCTACATGTAACATGACTGTATTTATACATATATATGTTCACGAAAATGGATTTAATTTACTTATTTGTTTAATGCATTGGAAATCGGTCATTTCATTCGTTATTTAATGCATGAATTTCCAAGGATTTGAAATTTAATGATGCATCTCTATGCTCTTTTATAATTTACCACGGGCTAACAAGCTAAAATGTAAATTACATCACAAAATTACTATTGCTTTATGTTTTATTTAGGCGCTTGTTATTGACGCTACCAGAACAACTCCTAAAGTGTTGGTCACGTGATAATTTGTTGACGTCAACGATGCGGAAAGGGTAGGTCTAAGATCTGGGTCAAGGTTATTTGGCAAACAAAAAAATGTATTTATAGTAAACTTTCTTAAGGAACATTTTTTGTTAGAACACAAAAGATAGTTTCATAGGATAGATTTTGAGATACAAGCTTTTTTTCAAAAATATGCCTTTGTTTTGTTTATTTTGTATTTTTGTGTTACACGTTGATCTTTGGTCATCACTGACTTAATCAAAAAATTATTACATGACCCGCGCTTTAGGCGGTCATCCTTGTTATTCATACCCCAATTTTATTATTTCTACCGTGCAACAAAAGTAGAACCCTAGCCACGGCAAAAAATGTGTAGGGTCATGTGATTCCCTATGCCGATATCCCTTAAAATCATGGACCAATCAAATCGCAAGATCAATGTGTAACGCAAAAAATCGAAACAAATTTTTACTATATATATACTGTTACATGCTATATAATAACCTTAAACCTATAAAATTTGGGTGAGGGTATGAATTTATTTATAGCTTTTTTAGGACTTATAAAACAAATGATAATTACATGACTCGAGGATTTATAAAAATAAGTTAGTCATAAAATTAAACGGGTATGGATCTCGATATATACAATTGTATAGATGTTAATGAATAGAATTAATGTTTGATTAAATCATACGTTCTAATTGGCTTATCGTTATAGTGTCGGAAAATACTAAAGATAAACCTATATTATATCGATATCGATATCGATATCATATCCTAAAGATACTAGATGGTCATATTCCATGCGTAATATAATGTGTTCCTCGTGACTCATCTGATCTTCGTCATAGTACATGTCATCGTCATTAACGTTAATATGTGACTGGTTTAAATACATGCTATTTTCAAATTGGTAAGGTAACAATTGACGATTGTTAAACGGTGGCGGCGGTGTTGATGCTGATAAATTTTGCTGATACGAGAATTCTCGATAAGAAAAATGTTCAGGTATAATTTCTGCGGTTATATCTGAAATATCCAAATTAGTTGATAGATTCTTTATAATATTGTTTGTCGGATTATCAATTTTATAGACCTTTTCGATAATTGAAACGTTATCCGTGATATAAGTTGCTTTAGATTTGCCGTTGCTGAGCGTAAAGTTCTGTTTGGTTATATCCTTAGAGTTGTTGGTTTTTTTGTCATTTGAATCCTTGGGTTTAGACGAATTCGAGAATTTTTTGGGTGGTTTTTCAGCTAATAAATTTGGAGTCATCGACTTCCACTTGTATCCAGGTTTTATACGTGTAGGTTTTTTTGATAAATTATTACTCAGAGCATTTCTAAGCTCTTTCGATATTTGTTCAAATTCATGCCTGTTTTCGTCGGAAAGAGTTTTCCAATGTTCAGAAGAAAGCCTTGAGATTTCGTTTGCTTTCAAATATCGTTTTTGTGAATTTAACTCTCGAGTATATGCTATTCGAAAAAGGATAAATGCGTTTGGTGGTCTCTTTGCAATTTTTTTCTTATAAATCTCTAAACGTGGTCCGAGTGCTTCTCGAATAGGACGAGTGAATTTAATTTCAGAGATTCCAATTGTTTCTGACATTAAATATTTTTTAATAGAAAGAAGTTTTTCAATTAGCTAATTTTTTAAAAAAAATACAGTTTTTTTGTCAGACGAAATAATAAAATTTGCTTATTTATATATTGAAGAAATTACATACCTTCGATTAGTTTCCGAGTATTACAAAGCATATCGGCGTTGGCAATGTTGTACACGAGACAGGTTTGAGACACAAAGGACACCAAAGTTTATTCTAAAAACTTATTTTTAGTGACTAATTATAAATGCTTAGAATCTCAAAAAGACCTTGGACATCCAAAATGTACAACACTGGAATACATTGTACAACAGTGAATATATTAGCTTTCAAAGATCTAAAATGTATATTGAAGAAATCACGTACTTTTAAAAGATCTAAAATGTATATTGAAGAAATTACGTTACGTACTTTCAAAGATCTAAAATGTAATAAGGTTCTAGTTTCCGAGTATTACAAAGCATATCGGCGTTGGTGACACTGAAATAAATCTATTCGATGTTACTTTTTTAAGCAATGATCATCAATTTTTTTGTCATATGTATCGGTATAACATGTTATCTATAATAATAAAGTGTGTACAGCAGCTTATCTAATAAATATAAAAGAAAACAATAGGAAAAGTTTTCTCCTCATTGATCAAACCATGTACTATGTTACGACACATGGCATCAATTAATTTTCACCCAGGTTTCCTATTGGTCGCAGGTAAATCCATCGGTAATATTGCATAAATCAATAAGGATACGGTCTAAAGACATCCAATATATTCAATACTTTAAACTGTAAAGGGTTTGCATCCAAACACTTTAACCACAAAAAATTACGTTGCTAAATAACCTTTGTTAAGAACTATAATATAACGTATTTTTTTGTGGTTAAAGTGTTTGGATGCAAATCCTTTACAGTTTAAAGTATTGGATATATTGGATGTCTTTAGACCGTTTGCACCATACAAAAATCTTGATCCGACACAAAAAAAATGAAAAAAAATTGAAAAATAAGCTTAAATCTACCTTGGTGCACTAATAAAAAATTTCGGGAAGACAATCGTACATATAACCTTGATCTCCATTCTAACCCTAACTCTGACTACCTTAAAATTACAGTAAAATTTTTCCGTCCTTGAGGTAGCAAAATTAAGGCGAAAAAAGGGCAGATCATGTGATTTCGATCTCGATGCCAACCATCAGATATCCCTCTTAATTATAATTCATAATATTAAATGGTTAGATTTAGGGTTAAGGTTATTGTATAGCAAATGTGAACATGGTATATACCGTACCGTATATTACTGTATAGAATACATAACAAGAGGGGATACAACGACATGAAGGAAAGATAATAGTGGCGAAGGACCTAGCTGAGGTAAAGAAAATTCTGTCAAGAAAATAATGTAAATAAGTATTATGAAACTAATCAAGTTGATTGAATAGTTAGTTTTTTTTTAGTTTCAATAAATTCAAATTCGTATTAATATAGATCCGGGTCTTAATCAAATTTTTTAATGCAATGTTATGATATATACCTGGTACAATATATGGGGTGAGGTATTCTATACAGTAATATATGGTAGCAAAATTTCGCAATAACATGTTTTTGAGTTTAGTGATAAGTTGGAGTGGCTCTTCAGAATTAGTTTTTTTTAATAATTTTGATCACATTAATAATATTTGTAAATGTTTCATTAGCATTTATCTTTATATATATGAGTTTTATAAGAGAGCATTAAAGCAATTTGTATATTTATTAATGATTCTAATTTATTATAATATCTCAAATTTATTTTGCAATTGTTTTATTTTTTGTTGTATTTAAAATTTTTATATGAAATAACACTTAAAATTATATTTATTATTGCTGATATTTGTTTATTTATTTAAAATAAGAGTATTATTAGTAATTTTTTGATCAAATATGCTATAGTTAAATCTTTCAAATATTCATATATAATTTATATCTTTTTTATTAATAATACTATTAGTTTTTATTGCAATTTCAAAACTTCTAAGCTATTTTATAAAATCTTTGTTATTATTTTTAAATTTTTTAATTAATATATATATTTAAATCTCTCTATAGTTATCACTCTCAAAAAAGCAAAATTTGGTAATTATAGAATTATAGAATTATAGAGAAGTGTGATTATAAATAAATATAATTATAGAGAGATTTAACTATATATATTTAGTTCTTAATTTAGTATTTAGATTAATAATAAATCATTTAAGTTTAACAAGAACTTTATTTATATTTATTATTGTTTTTTATTAGTAAGTCTTTAAATATTTCTTCAGGTAAAATTTTCTAGATTTAATTTTTCTAATTTTTTTGTTTAATTAAATCAAATAATTAAATATTTTCAAAAAAATTGTAGTTTAATATTAATTAATTAATTTATTATTTATTTTTTTAGAATATATAGTTTATTAAGTTTTCTTTTTTATAAAATCTTGTATTTTATTATTAAATTAATTTATTTAAGAATAAATATAACAAATAAGTTTTATATTAATATTTTTTTATAAAATAATATTAGAAGTTATATAATTTTTTGATAAATTATATATAATTTGTATTATTTAAAATAAAATTAATTATTTATTAAAAATTTGTTGTATTATATTATAGTTTTATTTAGTTTAAAAAATTAAAAATTGCATATTATTTTCTTTTATTAATAAAATAATTTACTTGTACTTAATTATATATTTCAAAATAATTATTTATTTAAATATTTTATAAAAATATTTAAATTAAAAATATTGAAATTTAATTAAAATAATAAGACAAAATAAATAAATTAAAATTCATGTAGCTTCTATAATATTAATATTAATTTATTAAAAACTAAAATTATTAATATATAATTTGCTAAAATTTATCTTTTGCCATTTAACAAAATATTTTTAAGTATAATAATAATAATAATAATTAATTATATAATAATTTTTTTATAATATATTTTTATTATAATAAAAACTAATTAAACTTAAAATTTAATAAATAATATTCAAAATTAGTTTTAATAAAATTCACTTAATATAATAAATTTATTAATAAATTTTTAAAAATTTTTAATATAATAAAAAATATTTTATTAAATTATATAGCTTTTTTTAAGATTTTTTTTATTAAAAAAAAATATTATATCTTTAACTAAAAAAAGAATAAATCTTTTTTATTTTTTTTATAAAAAATATAAAATATAAAAAAATAAAATAACTTGTATACAAGTTTAAAAAGTATAATTAAAAAAATATTATATTTTTATAAAATATTAAAGCTTAAAATTTTATTATATTATTACTATTAAATTTTTATAAGTTTAAATATTATATATAATTATATATTTTTTATATATATAAATTTAATAATATAATTAATAAAATTTTCAAATAAATATCATAGAATTATAAAATATTATATTTTAAAATTACTAAATTAAATTTTAAATTTTATTGCTTAAAATTAAAATAAATATATAGTTGTGATCAAAAGTATCTAATTCTTTTTAACTTTTTGTAGATTATATATAATATATTAAATTTTTCTGAACACAAAGAATATTATAAATATTGATATTTTTTATAAATTAATAGAGCTTTTATATCAGATATTGTATACTTATGAACTTTTATGTAACAAATATAATTAGTTATTTTATAATATATATTTCAATATTCAATAATCTAATTCTTGATATTCAGTAATCTAATTTGAACAAAAATACTACTATTCAATTCATCTCAACTAGACAAATCAAATAATAATATTTTTATTTAAATCAAATTACTAGATATCAAAATATTATGTCTTAAAGTAGTAGCTTTATTTTTTTAATATTAATAAAAATTAATTAGCAACTAATTTAGAATATAATATCTTGATCTTCAATAATCTAATTTGAATAAAAATAATATTATTCAATTTCTTAGTTAATGTAAATCAGATCACTGGAGATTAAAATATTATATATATTTTAAATTGACTGATTTATTTTTTTGGTGATTATTTCTAATAAAAAATTGATCATCAAATATGAATTAGTCACTTTAAAATATAATATTTCTATATCTATTAATTAAATTTGAGTGAAAATATTACTATTTGAATTGCTTAAATTAGACAAATCGAATGATAATATTTTCACTTAAATTTAATTATTAAATGTTAAAATATTATGTTATAAAGTGATTTATTTATTGTATTTGAATATAAAGTATATGAATATATAATATTTAATATAAAAGATTTATCTATCTATAAAAAAATATTAATAATTAGTATTTGTAATGTTTTTTGTACTTAAAAATATTTGGTATATTGCACATAATTTATGAAATGTTAGAGAAAGAGTCAGATAATTTTAACTATAATTATATTAGTTTCAAATATATTATTATTAAATTTATCTAATTTTAATAAATTTAGTAAGAGAAGAAATATTTATTAGGTAATTTTTATTTAATAAAAAGCTTATTTCTCTTTATTTAATTTTTTTAATTGGTTGAGAATTTTTAATCATCTAATTTTGATCTATATCTAATTTTATTCAGATTTTCTCTTTCTAAAAAATTATCTTTACTATAATATAATTAAACTTTTCTATAGTTATTTGTAATAATTTTCATATACTCTTGTAATTTCTTGTATTATATTTATTATTTTTGTATTATATTTATTATTTTTTTTGTATAACATATTAGAAATTAATACAAATCTATATTTAATACTTTTTAATATTTTATTAAATAGATTAAATATAAAATATAGATCACATTATTAATTTAGATACATTTTGTTTTTTAATTCCTTTTCTTTTTATTTATTTTTTTCTTTTTTATTTATTATTTTTAAATTTGTGTTAATTATTTTTTATTATTATTTATATTTTATATATATCTAATAACTTGAAGATGAAAGATGTATCACCTTTAAGATTAATAATTTAGAATAGAGATGGCACAGCAAGTACATGACGCTTATTTGTCACCTGTTGCAA